CCTTTTCTGCAGGGTCCCAGAAGCACAGGGGGTGCAGAGCTGGCCCCAGGCCCACACATCCTGCAGCCCCCACCCTGCCACTGCTCCCTCAGCACCAGAGCCCCCTCTTCACAGCTTACGGGGCCCGTAAATAAATCACAGTGCCCAGGTGTTTTCCATAGACCTCTGATGGAAACCAGTTAAATGCTTCCAGGTCTGCCGGGGGAGCCCTGTGCAGAGCAGGGGTGGGAGCCAGCCTTGCTGCGAGGTTCCCACCAGCTCCCTTGTTCCCCCCTCGACACTGATGGGGGGGGGATGACACCTCGCCTTGAAGTTGTAGCCCGTTAATGAGAAGATCCTGTCCTCCTGTCACAGGGATAGCTAATTTGCTCCTACACATCTGAGCTGAGAAATTTTATTTCAGGTTATATCGTTTGTCTTAGGCCGTATATTGCAAATACGTACAAAGAATCAGCATCCACTCAGGCAGAGGGCTCCCTTCCTTCAAGCCCACCTCCCTTGCTGAGGTGTATAAAGGCAGCGCTCCAGCCACGGCTTGTCCCTTTATTGTTTTTCTCCCCACCTTGGCAGTGAAGGCTCCCCATGGTTGTGTGCAGGGCAGTGCACGGCTACCCCCCCCCCCGAAGCCAGGCCCAATTCCTCCTCTGGTCCCAGGGCACGTGTGGTCCTGGGCTGGGGATGACCCCGGTGGCAAGGGGGGATGCTGTGGGAAGCCTGGGAGGAGGAAGGTGACCTAAACAGAGCCGCTGTCCTTAAACAACCTCTGCCTTTCACTGCCGAAATCCTCTCAAATCACAAACAGATGGTCCCTTTTTCTTCCTCAAATATTTCTTTTTCTTTTTTTTTTTTTAAAAAAGGGGGGGACCGCAAATGAGACAGCTCTGCAAATATTTGTAGATTCAGATCAGTTAAGCTCTGAAAAACTTCAGCTTGCAAAACTCCAGCTGAAATGTGGTTTCTGCCCAGTCAATGGTTATTTTCCCTCTGCCCTCCCTCCCTCCACCCGCTCCCGGCTGGGGCTGCAGTCGGGGGGGGGGGGGGCTGTGGAGGGACCCCCTGTGCCTGGCGCAGCCCCTCGTGCCCGGGGGGCTCATCCACAAGCCCAGGGCCAGGGCTCAGGCACAGCCACCCTCCCCTGCCAGCGCCGCTACGCTCCAGTAGCCATTTCTCCTCCATTAAAGAGTTTATTTTCAAAAGCGCTTCCCCTCTTCGGCCATCCCGAGGAAACACCGGGGGTGGTTGCACTCACTAAAGCCTGCTAACTAATTAACCTCAAATAACTAACGGCACTGGGCGATGAGTTAGTTATCCCAACAGAAATATCTAAGCATCCCCAGGTTTTGCAGAGTCGAGCAGGACCCGGGATGGCAGCGCGCTCTGGCCTGTGAAAAGCAGCAGCACCTCGGGACCTTCCTCCTTCCCTCCTCCTCCTCGCAGGAGCCCTCGCCCCCTTCCCTCGGGCAGCACGCCCGCCCCGAGACCGTGGAGGGAACCGAAGCCAGACCTGGGAGACTTCGTATCCAGAAAGAGTTTATTGAAAGCTTTAGGAACATTTTCATGTATAGTCAGTTGTATTAGGAAAACAACTATACAGAACTTTTGAGTTTAAATGGGAGATGAATGTTCATATAGGAAGCACAAAGTCCTTGTGCTGGCTGCCTTTGCCCATCGACACGGCACAGTGAGACCCGTCCCTGTCCATGAACATCCATGAACATCCATGAACATCCACTGAACACCCACGAACACCCACGAACACCCGAGCTGTCCATGCGTCCGCTTGCGTACAGACACGGCTCTTCCTCCAGCAGCCTGCCAGGAGCGGGCAGGAGGTGCACTCCTGGGAGGTGCCTTCTCCCCCCCCGGCAGGGCGTGAGCATCCCATTGCACCCCGTCCCGCTGCTGCCTCAGCCTTCACAAGAGACTTGTAAGCTCGGAGCAGCAGCGTAATGAGCCGGGACCACCTCGCCGTCCCCGGAGCAGCAGCGTTCCCGCGGCGGTGACACGGCTGCTGAGGGGCCGGGACACCAACTGAATCAGCAACTGGGATTGCTGGCGCCGTCCTCCACCCCCCCGCCTTCGCCAGGGGGTGGGGAAGGGGACCCCGGGGTCCCTCGGGGGTCACCCCGCTCACCCGGGGTCCCAGGGCAGCCTGCACCAGCCAAGGCACACGCACACCTTGGTACGGGAGCTTTTATTTGCAGCGACGGACTGGGCACAGCCGTGGCACAAGATGCTTTTCAAACAGGCACACAACAGTCTGCCCTTAGTCTGCTCCTGTCGTACACAGCAGCCCCATGAAACACCTCCGTTTTTATTAACTTTCTGGACAGACCCTCTGTACATCGCTCGCTGATGGCTCTTTATGAGGCAGGCCAGCATACCCCTCTCAGTTTAACTGTCTTGAAAACCAGAGCTCGTAACCCACAGAAGGCAGCGGCAGCAGCCCCCTTCGTTCTAGATGATAAACCACAGCAAAACACAGCGTAATGTCTTCACTTGGGGTGAATATCTTCTCATGCTTACACTGAATTTCAATTTTAATATCAAAACTAAAGACTCACATATGTTTTGAGCTGTTAGATACATTAATTTCATGCTTTTGCTCCTGACACTTGAGAGGCACAGGATTTCGTTAAGCTGTTTAATTGCAGTAAGTTTTTTTAGCAGACAGTATTTTACAAGCTGCAGAAATACCTGAAAGGCTTGAGTGGATGCCAGCAGTCCAAAAAGCCCGAAGCAATCATGTGCAGGCTGAAACGGGGACTTCAGGGGGGAATTAACAATTTACAGACCACAAAATGAAACCCCCAAACCAGAACGCGCCACGGTGGGATCTTTTTCCCAAGGAGCCGAGCAAAAGCATCAGTGAGGGAGGACAGTGTCCGTGGAAAGAGGCTGCGAGGAAGCTGATGCTGCTCTGGGGGGGCTGCGGTCACAGCCCCGCAAGAGAAGCCCCATGAAGGTGCTGCCGTTGGGGACAATCCTGGCGCGTAAAGCTGACGTGACCCCTCTCGCTCAGACACCGGTCCCGTGGCAGGGAGGGTCGGGGCAGGGGGGGGTGACCCCACCTCTTCCCCACCGCCTCCCTTCGAGCCTCCGTTGGTTTTATAACCCTGGCTGTGGTGGAAGGGGGGAACCCCCTTTACCCACGCACCTCCCCAAGGAGGGGAGGGAGCAGGGGACCCCACAAAAAGAGGGGTTCAGTGGTGTTGATTTTTTTTTGTTTTGTTTTGTTTTGTTTTTGCATTTAATTTTCTTCCAGACAGCTGGGTCATGGCTGTGCACCGGCCTCGTGGGCAAGTCACTCTGCGTGGTGACCAGCTGGGTGTGCAGACGGGCAGGGACCTTCCCCCGGGGGAACGCCGCTCGGGGCGCGACTGCCCCGGCTGAAATAGCGCTGCAGAGGTGACGCACCGCTCCCATCGCTGCTTACGCTGCGCGCCCCCACTTTTGGCTGCCTTAACGTCGCAGGGCTCAGAACAGCAACGTGCCTCTTAAAACAATCTACAAAGATGTAAAGCCACATCTCCTTGCAACGAACTGAAGAAGAGGCAATAGGGCTAAGCACTGGGCTTTACTTTTCATTCCCGCTTTGCTTATCACCAAAGTGCCTGTAGCCAAGGCAGCTTTATTGTTCCTAGCACAGCTTCGTGACCTGCAGCTCCTCTCTTGACCTGCAGCATCCCACCGAGTTCACAGAAGCGACACCCCCAGACACTCACCGCTCCCCTTGGTGAACCCCGAGATGGGCCAAGCACCCCAGGAGCATGTGCACCCCCATACCCCGCAACACCCCCCCCCCCCCCGTCACCCCATGGCTACAGCCGTCGCTCCCACCTCAGGATTTTCCTGCTCTGCTCCAGCAGCAGCATTTATGTTTGCTTGCTTTGAATCCCCCAGCGTTTCCAGGAACAGCAGCCACAGCACAGGGCCGGACAAAACTTAAGAGGTGCTCACGCACCCCCTTCCCCCAGGTATGTCTTTACACCCCACCAGTCTCGCCCCAACAAGGGGCTCTGCCGCTCTAACCCTGCGGCAGGCACAGTTTCCCCCACCCCTCCTTTGCAAGTTGCTTCAGCATAAGCAAGCAAACATCCGCAGCACGGAGCACGCTTTAAACCAGCGTGCTCGGGAGCAGAAAGAAAACCCAGCGATTGTGAGCTCCTTGCACACTCACCTCTGCAAAAAAAAAAAAAAAAAAAAATTCCAGTTCTCTGGCAAATAATGTAGACATTTTCGGTATGAAAAAAGACTGAGCACACAGACACCGGCCAGCCTGGGCTATCTGCTATCCTCAGTGACCACCAGAAGCGCCGCTTGATGTAGGGAACAAATACTATCCGCAGGCTCAGTGCCGGATCCTGGGATGGTGTCACCCCTACCAGATCCCCGAGGCGACGGGGATGTCCCCTGGGGACAGGAGAGCTGCGGGGCAAGGGGGCGAGCGTGCTGCGGGCTCCGAGGGGGAGGTACGGTTCCCTGGTACCTGGAGGGGGGCATTGACCCGCTACAGGGAGGAACTGGCATTGCAGCAGTTCAGGCACAACCCCCTGCCCCAAGACAGCTCCGCCTGCAAAGCTGCTTTCCATAAAATTCCCCATGAAACCCAGCTGAAATGTAGGCGCGTACTTCAAGCGCTCGCCGAGCCCCAGCGCGGCGGCAGGAGCGCGGTGCCGCGCTGCGGGCACCCCGCTCGCCCGCGGCGAGAGCCGGTGGGGGCCCGTTCACGGGACACCCCAGCCACGCTCTTGCATTCCGGTTTCAGGGCTGAAGCCGGCGTGGGCTGAGGCAGGCGGCTGCCCCGGGCAGGGCTGAGCCCTTCCCCTCATCTCGCCAGGGTTAAACCCACCGCCCTGGGGGCCAGCGCGACACTTCTACGTTATCGGACACTCAGGAGGAGAAAGCCACAGCTGCGTGTTGCTGCAATTCCATACCGTTTGTTTTCAGAAAGTAATCACCCCACATACTGTTTGTTTTCAGAAAGTAATCGCCCCTGGTTCATCAAATTCTTCAAACCCATTGATTCAGTACAGTTGTCAGGAGCCTCTTAGTGTAAACTTCCAGTACAGAGCGCGAAAAATAGGAACAGCTCTTGGTTTTGACCATGACCGTAGGTTTAGTATGCCGAAAGTTACTTTTGAGATGTGTTATTTCCAAAAGACTATTGCAAGATCTTAGTCAGAAGCAGCTTGGAGACGCTTAATAAAAACCCAGCACAAACAGAACCTCCTTCTCAGTCCCTCCACGCCAGACAGACCGCGCACCTCCCACCCGCAAGCACACGAGCCTCCTTTGCTTCCTCCTCAAGGCAACGCTCTCCTGCAAGCTGTACTGGATGCAAGGGGGGCACTGAGTTGCTTGCAGGTGAACAGCCAGGCTCTAATTTTGTTTTAACCTTCCCCTTCTCCTGTGCTTGTCGAATGACCGCAGTTCTGGCGGGACCTCGGGGCGCTCGGCTCAGAGGCGTTTGCTTTTGCTGCAGGTCGTGCACTTGAGGCTGGCGTTGTCCAGAGCGAAGGGCTTGCCGGTCAGCAGCGTCTCGCACTCCAGGCAGGCAAAGTGCTTCTTGTGCCAGGCCATCCCTCCTGCCTGCTGGTAGTCCTCCGAGAAGATGATCTACAGGACAGACAGACAGACAATTGCTTATTTCCATCGTCTCGCTAAGCCGGAGCACGGCAGGAGCCCCCCAGCCTGGTGTCCCCCCACCAAGCCCGTTAGCCAGGCTTAGCAACAGGCAAAGGAAAGGCAGGGGACTGCTCCTGAGCCAGCCGTGGGCTGCAGTTAAGCACTATAAAACCGCCAGGTTTTAAGCGCAACTAGAGCTGGGTTGTTGCTCTGAGATAGACAGGGCAGGGCTGCCCCAGACTGTCGTTAACATCGCGCCGCTTCACCCCGTTTTTAGGCCCCCCCATCCCCGGCGCCCAGCACCAGGATGCTGCCGGATGCCGGGGCGGGGGGGTGAGGGCAGGAGCCAGGACAAGCCCTGGATTCCCCCGGCGCCGGCACCCGAAGGGCGTGGGGAGGCCAAGCGGCCGGTCCCTACCTCGTCGCAGCCGGCGCAGCGCGGGCGGAGGCTCTCGCAGTAGTGCCGCCCGCACCAGGCAGCCCCGCTCTTCCAGAAGTAGATGAGGTCGACGAGGGGCTCGGAGCAGCGGCAGCAGACGAAGCAGGCCGGGTGCCACTGGCGGGAGTAGCCGGCCCGGTCGGCGTACACCACCGGGCAGTCCCCCGGCACCGCCTGCTTGCAGGTCTCGCAGCGCTGCAAGGGAGAGGCGGCGGGGTGAGCGCGCGTCGGGCGGGGAGGCGGCGGCCACCTCCAGCAGCCACCTCTCAGACACAATGGTTTTTGGCACCGTCCCCCTCCCTGGAAGGGTTCAAGGCCAGGTTGGACACGGCTGGGAGCCCCCTGGGCTGGGGGAAGGGGGCCCTGCCCGCGGCAGGGGGGGAGTGGGTGAACTAGAGGATCTTTAAGGTCCTTCCCCACCCAAACCATTCTACGATCTTTTCAAGGCATCGCTGTTACCCGCGCCGCTGGTAGGAAGCACGGACAGCGAAACAGACCACCACCATCTCCAAGCACATCCTCAACGCTTCCCGCTTCTGAAAGGACCAGCTGCGCTCCTGCTCGACATATCCCACAGCGCCAAGGAGGACAGTGGAAATAAAACGTTTAATTCCAGGACTGCTAAGCCGTGCGACTTAGGTTGGTTTTGCTCGAGCTCTTGTTCTGTGAGGGGAAGCTTGAGAATACCAAAGCCGGAGTTTACAGCTCTATCAGCGAAACCCACCGGCCTGAAAGGAGGATTATAGAAACAGTGCAGCGAGGTGGAAGAGCAAGGAAACGCCGAAGCGAAGAGAAAGTAATGGTTGCAGCTTGAGGAAAGCGCTGGGGAAAACATCTCAGTTGTGCAGGACTCAGACAACACAGAGAAGACCACAGGGCCCCCACAGCCAACAGAACCAACATCTCAAGTTCTATCGCTCCATATTCTGTGCAAACATTTGGACCAGTGCCATGTAGGGACAGAGTGTCTATCTATAACATAATTAAAAGTTATTATAAGTATATATTTGCCAGTCTCTACCCAGAATACTGCTTGCTTCCCTCCAGCCAGATCCTCAGGCAGGTAAGAATGGCACAAGCCACCAACCCCTAAGTGTCTGCCCTTTGGGACCACCCCCCAAGCTCAAACCAACCTTCACTAAAATCCAGAGGTTCTCCAAGAAAGAGTTAAGACATCCGATAGTGCAGAAGTGCGGAATGTCAAAGATGTTACTTTGCAGAGAGATTAGGAACTCTGTTCTTTTCTCACAGTTTTTTGATATACATCTCTATGCGTAAGACGGATGTCACGCCAAAGATTCCAGCACAGCGCTTTCAATTTATAACAGTCCAAAGAGACAGAATTAGATTTGGCTAATCTGATGATTAATTAGCGTCTGTGCATATTACACATAAGACCAACTGAGTTCACTCTTCACCCGCGCCTGCAGAGTGATCCTGCGATTAGTTAAGAGCAGGCTTTAAAGCTCTCCTCTCCGGAGCTGACAGCTGATGGGCTGTTATTTCAGTTCCCATTTAAGCCTGGGTAGTCCAGGGCAAGCTAATAGCTTCTGAGTCTGTGCTCTGTCACTGCCTGGAAGAAATGCTCTTGAGTAGGAGCTGGAGTGTCTTCCAGCAGAGCCCTTGGCTGCAAGGCCAGACTTCCCCCGGCAGCCTGGCTCAGGCTTTTACGAGCCCAGGACTTGGTGTGAAGCAGCCTGTGCATCGCACGTGCGGGGCTTAAGCTGCTGCACCCGGCCGGAGCACCGGCCCCCCTCCAGCACCCACAGGGCCGGGGGGGTGTGTGTGTCCCTGGGGAGGGTGGCTTTGCCTACAAACGCTCCCATTTAAGTCAACGAGCTTCTAATACGGGGCTGGAAGAGACACAAAATTAAAATCTCTCATTGAAGGCAACCGAACCGCTCCTGAGCTGCAGGGAATCGGGGATGGGGCGGGGGGGGGGACATGGAGGAGGGGGACCCCCCACGGGGCAGCTGTGGTCCGTGTCCTGAGCAACAACATCGTGATGCCAGCACGGCCCGGGGAACCCTGTGCTGGGCGCACAGGACCCCGCCGCGACCCCCCCCCCGCTCCAACCCCCCTGGGGCAGCAGCAGAAAGGGCCTCTCTGGGGGTTTCTCTGGGAGCTCCCCAAGTGTCAGGCTGAAGACAAGTTCCCCAGCACGTCCAGCCCCTCCTGCTCGTTCACGGCCTGGGTGCCAAAAAGACTATTCTTTGTGTCTAGGGTGTTTGCTTAATCTCACTTCTCCCTTTACACAGCAGAAGGTTACAGGCCTACCTACCCCCACCCGCGGCTTTTCTTTGTTTTGTTACTATTATTTCTAGCACGCCCCGCAGTTCGCTGCTCCCTCCTCCTTCGTCCCGTCTGGATTTTCGGTAAGTGCCCTGCGGTCCTTGGAGTGGTTCCACCGCGCTGCCGGGCATCTCCTATTTTACCAGGAAATCCAGTAGGAAGAGCGAAGGCAGCGCAAGAGAGAGAAAATGTTTCCTGGCTTGGCGTTTCTGGGAGGCTGGAAGGGGATACGTCTGCTTACGCGGCTCCTTCCCCGGCCAAGGCCTCGGGGGGGCACGTCCGAGCGCGGGGCGGCTGGCAGGGCACGGCTCCCGGCAGAGGCAGTTGGACCCGTGAATCCTGCGCCCCTCGGATGGGACCGGATTTTTCCCCTACGTCCGCGACACCTCCCCAGGGCATCCGATTTGGGCGACGCGGGGCACCAGGGAGCCTGACCCCGCAGCTGCCCCCCCCCCTCCGTCCCCCCCCCCCGACCCATCCAGCCCTGCCCTGCTTATCTTGCAAGATCTGACAGCGAGAACAAACACGAGCAGCTCTCCAACTCCGAGCTCGTGTTTCTTGCCAACAAGAACGGTTGAAAAAAACAACTTATTTTGCTGTTTCTTTCTATGGTAATTATTCAGAGGGCTTTCCCGCAGCATCATGTAACTTCCATCCCCTTGCCATCTGCACACTAAGTAAAAAGCGGCTCTTCAAATTGAGGATGGGATTAGAGCTTGGTACTCATTTTACATTTCCACCGTGTAGGGAGGAGTGAAGACTTCATTAGCTGAGTTACCAGAGGTGCTGGCGAAGAAAGTGCCCCTTTCCCCTAAGCTTCTTCAAACTCGCTCTGCCCGCTGGCTGCCGTTTTGCGGTGACAGCTCCCACACAAGATGCTCCCCAGACCCACGAGGCCGCACTGCTGGCCTCGAGCTTCGTGGGACAGTGGCTAATTCTGAGCAACTGCTTCAGGATTTGATTCGACTCCAACACAGTGGCTTATAACGCCGGAAGACTTTCCAGTTCTGAGGGGGTTAAAGATGATTTTATGCTCGGCGGAGAACATTCAGCTCGTAGGACAGACTTGTTAGTGATGGGGCCCCTCTCTGCAGCCGAGACAAGTTCAAAAAGCTGTTGGAGCTCAGATGCCTCTCTCACCGTGATTTACATTGGCCCTGTATGTTTTCCTTTACACACCAATTTCAACACAGCTGGCCTGAGTGTGCAATAAGAGGTTTAACGACTTTAGCACAGGGACCACACGAACACCCAAGGCAATCATTCCAGCTTGTTTCTTGGTGCAGCTTTGGTGCTTTCTGGGTTCATTTTCTTCCAGAGCAAGAGTAGTGGGATTTTTTTGTCAGGTTCCCCCGCCACCCCTCCCACACACATCCATCCTTCATAAATCTATAGCTCAGATTCACACCTTGAGCTGAAATAGGGTGAAATCAAGCTCCTGGTACCGGCTAAGAGGTTTGGTATTCAACAGATTCAAATCTGTGTCCTACTTCTGATGGACTCAGTGAAGAAACATCGCAGAAACTGCTTGAGAGTCAGGGTCTCCAAAACAAGCTATTCAGCACCCTAGTAGAGAGGTACTAAACCTCCACATCTGGAGGGTGCTGATCTACATTTCAACCCCGAATACATCAACAACATTAAGTGTCATTGGCTTCATGCGCTTTGTTTCTCAGTCCCTTCACATCCATCCTCTGCCTCCATACAGCTCATTTTGCTCACATCTACTCGCACACGTTGCAAATTAAAGTGCTGTATCTCCTTCTTCTATGGCAGAACGTTTCTTCCAGTGCAGTTTTGCGAAAGCCAGTAGACTTTCTGGAAGTGAAGCACATTTCAGCTCTTGGGACACAGTCCATTCGTAGCAGGTCGGCTGCATTTATTCCTCCACGGGAGATCAGATTAAAGCAGGCGGTGTTTTGTTAGAGGGGGGGTCTGTTTTCAGCACGGCAAGAAGCCACAACACTTCGTGGTCTGCCGTGAGCAGAGCTGCACTGTCTGCTGGTTGAAGAGCATCTCCAGCTCTGAAGCAGTTCCATTTTTCAGCTAGTGTCTCTAGAGAAATGATGCTTTAAACTACAGAGAGTAACATCACGGTTATGTATTTCTTTGGAAGGACGAACTTGCAGTCTAAATAAACCCTCCTTGCTAAGATGACTTTTATTAATGAGTTTAATGGGAACTTTCCTTTTTTTGGCTATTTTTGAAGCTTAAAATTCTTTGTCCAATTCAGTATTTTCTTGCAACAGTGAAAACTCTTACTGTGTCACCGGACTCAAAGTCAGATGCATGTTAATAGAAGTGGCCATCGCAGAGGGGAGACATTACCCAATATGGAATGAAAGTGGAAACTGCTCTTAACGTCTTACAATCTTGGTGCAGTGATGGCTAGACCAATCTTGCGTTAAAAACATTCAGACACCGTTTTTTTTCCCAGCTCTAAATCATCTGCTGCAAAGGCACCCTCAAATGGGCCAATACAAAATATTTTCACTCACCATATTTCATGATAAGCATTTGCTCAGCAACCACAATGGCCACTCCAGACAGCACTGGGAGAATATCAATCTGAAAAGGTGTTAGGGAATCTCAATCCTTTCCCTGTGGAAATTTATTTTTATGCCCAGGGACAGGCACGGTCTGTTCAAAGTTCCCCGGTGCGGTTCCAGCCCCGGGAGCACTATCTCCACGTTCAAGGCTTTGCATTAAATAGACTGAGCCACCGCCTCCCATCGCTTGGGGTCTTGGTGGTTGTGCTGGCCTAGGAGCCGGGCTGGAAACGCTCGCTAGCTCGCAGGAAAACAGCTGCTCATCTTCAGCACCTGCGCAGCGACGCAGGGACACGTCCCACCCAACCTTTCAGAGCCGCCGAGGAATCCAGAGGTGAGATCGCCGGCTCCTACAGCTGACGGAAAACGTCCCGGCCTCGGCGGTGGAGCACAGCTCCCGCGGTGGAGGGAGGGAGGTGGGGACGGGGATAACCCCCCCTCCTCGCCCCTGCTAGACCGACACCAGCGCTCAGCACCAGCACGCGAGGAAGGGTCCCAGCGGGGTCCTGTCCCGTCCCCCCCCCCCCCCCACCCCGGCGCTGCAGTTTGAGCATCGCAGCAGATTCGGAGGAGCCCGGGGGGGGAGCAAGGAACAGGTAACCCCGGCCCTTTCCCCCTTCTAGTCGAGGCTGGATCCGTCCCCTGGCAGGTCCCCAGCCCCCCGGGCACCCCCCGCCAGCCCGTCCCGCCGCCGCGGAGCGCGGCACTCACGTAGTGCCCTGCCGCGGGCGCGCTCTCCAGGGCCCCGTTGGTGGTCTCGGGGGGTTTGCCGGCAACGATGCCCTCGCCCTGCGGCTTCCCCTCCTCCTTCCCGCCGCCGCCCTGGCCCGGCAGTGCCACCTCCCCGACGCCCAGCGCCTCGGCTTTGTACTTCTTCACGAAGTCTTCCATCAGCTTCAGCTCGCCCTCGGCGAGGCCGCGGCACTGCGACGGGTCCTGGTCGTACAGCGGGAGTTGTCTCATCAGCTGCCGCCGGCGATAGCAGGCCCCGTCCGTCCCCGCCACCGGCTGCATCTCCTTGGGGATCAGCTCCATGTACTGCATGGCCTGGGCGGGAGAGAGCACCGGCAGTTACCCCCCAGCCGCCGAGGGAAGCGCGAGCTCTCCCGGACCGACGCTCCGCTCGCCTTGGGGCGGCGGCGGCAAACGTGCCACTTCCCCTCCCTCCTGCCGCCGAGCTGTCCCAGCCTACGCTGAACTTACTCAGATGCCAGCGGCAGCCAGGCTATTGTTCATCGTTTCGTCCTCAGAAAACAGTGGAACCAAACAAACAGAAAAAAAAAAAAACAAAAAACAAAAAACAAAAAAACCAGACTCCCCAGGAAAGCAAAGCAGCAAAGACTTGCTTCGCTGTTTTGCACCCAGATCCCAACACACCCTCCCTTGCTGGCATTAGCAGGCCACTATTCCAGGCAATTGGACAGCAAGGCTGCTGGAAAGACCAGAAAGCCATAAAGATCAAAACCCAAGCCCAGGCAGCTTCCTCCTGCCTCGTGCCAGGACAGGGAAAGCTCCGGGGAGCGGGTCAGAGGCTGCACCAAGAGCCCCACCACAGCCCTCATGGGCTGCATGCAGCGTAGTGTACAGTAAAAGATCCCCTTTTATCAATTAAAAGAAAAAAAAAAACAAACTTAATGCAGGTAAAAAGAGTCACATAGAAGCTGAGTCTGTGACACTGACAGCCACCAACTCCACCCGATTATTGATTTTACAGGAAAGGGAAGGTGTTTGGTCACCCGTGCCCTGCAACATGGCAAGTAAACGCCAAGAAACTATCCAGACTAAAGTCTCTTGCTCAGCTGGCCGCTAGCCGCTACCTCAAGAGAGAGTAAACCATGATCTTGCAAGAGGGCTGGCCCACGCTGAATTAGCTTTTGTGGGCCGGTGGGGTCTGCACAGTTAACTTCTTCTGGCCTGGTGCTAAGGGGAAGGGAGTTTCCCGCTCAAGACATTTTTCCTATTGTAGTGTGAAGAGCGAAGGGGCAGCCAGTTGGCTCCCTGCCATTCCGTTTTAAAGACCAGCATCCAGCTGCATTAGATTTGTTTCTTACTTGGTCAGCACTTGAAACTGAAATTTAAAAAAAGCAGAGAAGCAATTAACTGTTTACAGTACACAGCCTGGTTCAGTATGGCCTTTTAAATACAGAAACGTTTGGACAACACTGAACAACACATCACGCCTGTAAAAACTTCCAAGTCAGCTTCCCCTTCAGCTACTTCCAGCCAGATAGATAGCAGCGTCTCAGGGCACGATCCCGGCCTGAAGACTTGCAACAGCAATAGATAAATGATTTAATGGAGGCAAGGCTTCTTCCCCGTTTCTTGGAGTGCATGTTAACATTGCTGCACGTCGCGATATTGGGCATCAACACTCAGTATATTGTGCCTCTGCGCAGTGACAGGATTGATATCCGGGAGTTTACTGGGGAGGGCTCCCACGGGAGAAGGTGCTGCTCGGGAACCGCCGGGCTGCGGGATGCTGCAGAAGCGATCTGGTGCGCAGATGGCTTTTGCAGAAGTGAGAAATCCTAATAGGAACTACAGAAGCAAGAGGCTAGAACCCCCCCCCCCAACGGCTCCTCCCAGGCCTCGCAAAACACAGACACTGCCCGGCGGCGTCCGGCAGCTGGCAAGGACAAGCGACCAAAGCTCAGAGCTTCCCGCTGGACGGCCGTGAGCGGGAGGCTCGAGCTGCACGGCCCGCACCGGCGAGGCTGAGCCGCAGGCACAGCGCCGCCGGGGCACGCCAGGGACACAGTGGGACCTTCCTGGAGGGAATTCTCGACCCACTACAAACGTGCCAAGGCTCGCGAGCGCTCACACCGGAGCTGCGAGAACAGCACCGCGCCAGCACGTGCGCCCGAAGCACCTTGTCCCACTCCAGCGCCAGGCTCCCCACCGCCGACACGGAAGGTCTGTGCTGGAGGCCACGGGGAAAAGCAAAGTGTCCCGTCTTTCTTAAAAGTCCAGTTGGACCGCTCAGCCGCAGGTTGCAGTCTCTGCCCAGGCACGTGGGGGGATTTCACTCCCTGATCAAGAGAATGCTTAAAGTTATAATTGTAGGTGTCAAAGTGTGTCCAGAGAGTAGACCAGGGGGAAAAAAAAAAAATCAAAAAAATCAACCTGACACCAAAAATTGAAACCAAGGATAATAAAAAGTTGTTTCTTCTGCTGCTACCATGTATTACCACAGCCAAATGCTTTACTATCTTGCCTTAGCACAGATAATTTTGAGGAAGAGCACTCTGAGTTTTCACTGTTAACTACTGGATTTCGGAGATATTTTATGATCTGTTCTTTTCACATTCCCCAAGGACACTGAATATCTACTTCATAACTTCTCCAGGCACAGCTTAATGAAAACACACTCTGAATTTCCTCCTATTATTGGACCATCCACTTCAGGACAACAATATTAAAAACAATCCCAGGTTTCCAGCCTGCCTTCAGAAGGAAATCACCGGAGCGAGTCAGTTAGGCACTAAAAGCTTTTTGGCCCAAGTCCCTTTTGAGCTATCCCGAGAACGGCCGACACCCGGCATTCCTCCTAAAAGTTTGTCAAGTTGATCTGCAAGCCAAAATTTACCAAGGTTGTCTCCAAAGCTCCTGCAATGTTGTGTGCTTGAACCAAGAGCCGTTCGGGCACTGTCAAGAGCTCCAAAGCTGTCGTGAGGCACGAACCTCCCCCCCCCCCCCCCCCGAGCTGCCCCCCCGCCAGCACCGCAGGGCCCCGGATTGCTCCCCCCAACAAGGGGGGACGGTGGGGGGTTCAGGCCCCTAGGAGCAGCAGCAAGCAGCCCAGGAGCTGCAGTTCGGGCATCCTTCACGGCAAAGGGCCGAGCCTGCCCGCGGGGAGCCCCGGGTTCCTGATAAATCCCGGGCTGAGCAGCGTGCTTAAGGAATCAGGCCGGGTGGGAAGAGTGCCACCATTGTTCTCCCCGTCCCTCCCCAGCTCCCAGTTCCCCGTGGGACCTGCGGAAGGCAAAAAGCGGTTAAACAAACATCCCTGCCGGGCCAGCTCCTACCAAAGGGAGAGCAGGTTGTGAGCAGCAGTGCTGCGATTAACCAGCCGGGCAGTGGGATGCACGGGGGTCTCGGTCCCTCATTAAAGCCCAGTGGTCTGCTCCAATTAGCACCACAGGCCCCAGCTGCATCCCCAGCCCAGGCTTCCTGCCACCCCCAGTCAGCCTTTCTGAGAGCGTGAGGGCAACTGAGTCTTGAGAAGAAACAATCGGTCTGCCTCTGGGGTCTGCAGCTGCAATTTCACATTTGTTTCCCCGGTTATTCATTAAAAAAAAAAAATGAAAAAAAAAAAAAAATCTGGTTGTAGTTTTCAGCAGCTTTGAACTATTTGTTTAATTTGAAGAGCAAAAGCTGTCCGCTAATGACAGTGTAATGTATAACCTTTTTAGTACCGCAACACAGTTAAAACCCAGTTAAATGCTTTCCCTCAAGAAGTGCTCTGCTGCCTAACACTTCCACACCCCAAAACCCACTTCCAGTCATTCCCACACAGCAAAATTGCTTGCCCGGATGGAAACCAGGCACAGGAGGGAAGGTGGGGCTGGGCTGGGGGCTTCTTTTCGGATCCAGCCCTCGGCATGGGACCATGCTCCCCATCTCCCCTTTTTAGCCCGAGTTCTCTTTACAAAACCTCACCAGGAGGAATTCGGACCGGCCTCTGTTGAGCTGTAAGGAAAAGCTCCGGCGCTGAATGCGGGAGGGGTCCCCCCCCGCCCCGGGGGGCAGCAGCGGTCGCGCCGGCGGGGCTGCGGGCAGGATGCTCCCGGGCACAGAGCTCCGCTCCCGGCACGACGAGCCTCCCCGCTCCCGGTCCCGGCAGCGGGAAACTCCACAAACCTGCCAGGGCCAGGGCCAGGGCCAGGGCCGGGCTGTGCTGCACCTCGGAGAGGTGGTGGTGGTGGTGGTGGTGGGGGGGGGGGGGGCCAGAGGATGTTTTCCACCGAAGCGATGCTCTTCTGAAATCAGGAGAGGGGCAGCCCCCAAGGCACAACCATCCGGCTGCCCACCGCTGCCGGGGAGAACTTAAACCCTCCTCCCCTTCCCCGCCACTTGCCCAGCGAGTCAGAGCCGAGATGAAAACAGAAACAGCACGGCAAAGACGTTAAGCCATGAAGTAAACAGCGCCGACACCCTGTTCCGGCTCCGTTTCGGTGTTCCCACGGACGCCTGGCTGGGGCAGAGGTGATGCAGCATCCAGCAGGAAAAAAGGCTGCGTTTTGGGGTGGTTTGGGGCTGTTCTGCCATTTAGAGGCACAAGTGAGCGCTAGTTGCACTCCTGGTTAATAGATCTGAGATGCCAGGCCTATTTTAAGTCAGAGATTTTAATGACTACCTCAGCAAGCAAGGAAAATAATTACTATATGGAAGACTACAGTTATTTTTCCCTTATTAAAGTCCACATCCGTAACGGAGTAATTTAGAAGCACAGCGCTGGATTTAGATGCAGCATTACTTCTTTCCACACTGATTTGATTTTTCAGCTTTCAAGAGACTGAAGCACAATTTCCTGAAGTGATTGACTGAAAAAACCCTCCAGGTTAGGGGAACTGTCCCAGCGACCTCCCTCCGCCCGCGCTGGCTGCTCCTGGGACAGGCTCACACCCACGTTTGCAAGAGATCAGACCCAAGGAGCAAGGCGGGACCCGCCTCTCCAACAGAGAGCTCAAGGCCCAGGACAAGTCGTCCTGCCCAGATAAACCACCCGAAGAGCTTGGAGTCTCCACGGCTGCTCCCAGGAGCCCGGCCCAGCCCCGCGGTGTTTTAAAAGCACGAGACGGGGCTCTGGCGTTAACTCGTCCTTGCGGGTGTCCCGCAGCCTGCACGGCTTTCTGCCGCCGCGGTGCCCTCCTGGGGATGGTCAGGGAGGGCACCAACCCCTGCCCGGACACCCCGAGAAGGTCTGGGGGGATCGCTCCCACATCCAGCCTGGGGTTTTGGAGCCTGCGTGGGCTGCACAGGCGTGGTACGACTGGCAGGACAGCAGGGATGGGACCTCTCCAGAGCAATGTTTTTATTGGACGCGAGCTTTACCAAAGTAGCGAGCTTTCTAGTTGTAAACCCCATTAAGACTTCTCTTAGAAATGTAAGCAAACCTATAAAAACCCAAAGGCAAGCCATTCCCCTCTCCTACCTACTCTGGTTACCTACACGGTTTTCCAAAACACCAAGTGTTACGTATGTTTTTGCTCTCCAAGGCAAACCATAAGTTTTGCTATTCCCCCCCCCCCCCCCCCCCCCCCGATAACCTTATTCCAGAGCTGAGTTACTTTTTCCGCTAAGCGACACCACTACCTGCCAAACGCGCTGTGGGTCACCTTACCAGCTTCTGGGTGAGTCCCGGGGGAGCCCACTCGTACGTGATGGTGTCGAAGGTGGGGTCTTTCCGAGAGACGATGGGGTTGGTGATGATCATGCGGTTCCTTTTGTAAATGCGAACGCCGTCACCTCCCTTCACCCGGGCGGTGAGCGTGGCGTACTTGGAGTCCGACAGCAGGCGCCCGATTTTCCGGTCGTCCTCCACGTCCGAGCTCAGGCTGTGATCCTCCTGGCTGCATTTGCACGACTTGCAGATTTTCCTGCGGGTGACAAAGCGAGATCATCCTTTCGATGCGAGCTGGGCCGCGGGAGGCACGCGACGGCTCAGCCACGGAGCGTCAGCCTCTTCCAGAGGTTAAACGCAGACCGGGGTTATGCCACGAGACAAAAGGCTCCTGTGGCCTGAGCTGCACACGGGAATTCAGCACGATTCACAGAACCACAGGCTGGTTTGGGCGGGAAGGGCCCTCAAAGCCCCCCCAGTGCCCCCCCCTGCCCCGGGCAGGACCCCCTTCCCCCAGCCCAGGGGGCTCCCAGCCCCGTCCAACCTGGCCTTGAACCCTTCCAGGGAGGGGGCAGCCACAGCTGCTCTGGGCACCCTGGGCCAGCGCCTCACCCCCCGCACAGGGAACAATTTCTGCCTTACATCTCACCTAAATCTCCCCTCTGGCAGTTTAAAACTATTACCCCTCATCCTATCCCTACACCCCTGATCCACAGTCCCTCCCCCCCTGCCCCCCCTTTAAGCCCTGGGAGGCCGCTCGAAGGGGTCCCCGGCCCCTTCTCTTCTCCAGGCTGAACCCCCCCAACTCTCTCAGCCCGGCCTCCCAGGGGAGCTGCTCCAGCCCCCCCAGCATCTCCGTGGCTCCTCTGGCCCCGCTCGAGCAGCTCCGGGTCCTTCTGCTGTTGGGGGCCCCCGAGCTGGCCCCAGCACTGCAGGGGGGTCTCCCCAGAGCGGAGCAGAGGGGGACAATCCCCTCCCTGGCCCTGCTGCCCCCCCTGCTCTGGCTGCAGCCCGGGGCACGGGTGGGTTCTGGGCTGCGAGCACATACTACCAGCTCATGTCCAGCTTTTCATCCCAGAGGGATCGGCAGTGGCACGGAGCAGAAAGCTGCAAACCCCTAAGTGCCTCCCCCAGGCGAAAGCAGCCGCAGCGGCGCTGGCAGACTGCTGCCCCCCCATCCCCACGAGGAGCTGCCGCTGCCCAGGACCTCTGAAAACCCCTTCAAGCATCGTTAAATCTCCCACCCTCATCCGGCTCCAACAGCTGAGCACTAGCCCCAGCTCTTCCAAAGCTTTGAATGCCATTAAAAGAGGTGACTGCTAAAAGAGGAATGGATACTAGTTGTCTATAGTTTTCATTACAATAGCTATAAATCATAAAGATAAGTCTGTAAGGCCACTCTGCTTTTCTATCAGATGCTAACAGCAAAAAGGACAAACCAACTCTGATGCAACCCCAAGTATTTCAGCGGGATCCTGGAACAAGCATGATTCCAACCAGCCTTGAATTGAGTCAATTAAAAAAAAACAAAAGCAGTGATTCAACCAAAGGAGCGTTTTAAAGTCTTAAAGCTGAGGCGCTGAGACGGGAAGGGCAGGCTGCAGGCCACGGCTGCTTGCCGCCACGTGAAGCATTCCAGCAGCACACCTGCGGACCGCGGCCCCGGGACCCGGCTGCTCGGCCCACGGCAAACAGGAGCTCCCCGGGGGCTCGCAGAAAAGAGCCCAGTGTTTTGCAAGGCAACCTCAGAGGGCACTAATGCTTTTTTAATTAATGACATCTGGATAGCTCCCTTCCATTTCAAAGCCCCCTTTGTTTCTCCCGGTTGGGTTTGGAAGCAGATGGGGCGGGGCAGCAGCCCACTGCCCCTGCCCAGAGCCAAGCACGCAGGACGGGTCGGCTCCCACCAGCTCCTGATATTGGTGCCGATCTACCTAAATTAGTGTTTTTAAAAGGAAAAACTGAAAGTAAAGTCTCAAAAAACGAGACATTTCCGGCGCTAAGCACAGCACCTCAGCTGTCAGGATGCTCAGGACGACCAGCTGCAACAGCCGAGTGGGACCAGCACCGGTTTTGCTCCACTCCGCACCCACGCTCACCCCCGAGGACAGCCAGGAACCCAGCACAACTCCTGCCGACAGCGCGGGATTATCCAGCCGGCCAGCATTTCCCTGCCTCCGAAGCAAGCGAGGACGTGCTTCGCCTCTCTAACCCCTCTCCAAACCACCTGGCGGGCAGAGGAGCCGGGCGCCAGCCCACTCGCCGCGCAGGGCGTCGGGTGGCTTGTGCCGAGCACAGCTTGCAGCAGCTTCGGCCCCGTGTCCCCATCCTGCTGTCCCACTGAACAGCACCCACCACGCAGGGCCGTGCTGGGGGACAGGCCCCTCTGCAGGCTGGGCCATCTCGCAGCCCAGCTTTCTGCTCTGCCCAAGCCACAGCTCGCTGCCAAGACCTGCGCCCAGCCTCGCAGAGAGAGTCTCGACTCCCAGGGACCAGGCAATGGTAGCAAAAACGGAAAAAAAGCCCCACTGCATGAGAGCCTCAGCTCGGTTTAAACACTTGTGGATGAGGTTTTAACTCAAACAAATAAAAGAGCAGGACCAGTGAGGGAAGGGGGATGGAGAGCAGGGAACACAAGCACCCTCCTGGCTCCGCAGGCGTCCTGGCTGGCCAGCGAGTCCTCTCTGCACCCCCCAACAGTTCTCTGCACTCAGCGTCACCGGAATCTGAACATCAGCAGGACCAAAGGGAGAGTGTCAGGGCAGGGCCCACCGAGGCCAAGACATTACCTCCAAGAATGTGGCTCGAAGCCCGCGCACGTCCCTCTGCAGCGTAAGCAAGGCACACCTCGGCCCGACTGCGGCTGGCTCAGCGACATCTGGAAGAGAACAGGACACCCGAGTTGGAAAGGCTGTATCCTCAACGATTATCTGAGACTAGAGTACCAATACTGTCACTTGTCCTTACGTCCTGTGAAGCCTCAAACCTCCCAAAACGCCTTCTGACCACTGCCCATGCAGACCTGCTACAAGTGTATTTAGGGATGCTTGGGATGAAGGTTTTCACCTTAAAGCACGGACAGTCCCACCCCCAGGACACACACACCCAGCAGAAGCAACAGCAGCATCTCAGGAGCTTTGCCCCCACCTCAACAGATCCAACCCTGTGCAGTCAGAGATTAAACTGCAGGGTGGTCATCCACCTCCGCAAGACCCCGACACTGGCAGTCTTCAAGAAGCATTATAAAGCGTCAGGCTCTTGCAATTTTCTGACCATTTCAGACCTTGCAGTCTGCGTTCTCCGTTAAGTCCTAACACACACAGGTCTCCCCCCCCATGCCCTTTTTGGCACTTGCTCCCCTTCATCACATCCTTGTGGATGTCTAAACCCTCCCGAAAGCATCAGAAGCACAGTGGAGGCTGCAGCAGTTTCCAGTGCTGGAGAAGGGTGTTGCCTGCCTGTGCAATATTAATCTAGTCCACGTGTGTTTCTGTGTCACGATGGTCTTTCACTGCAAGATCATACGCTGTTTAAATCAATATTTGTCACACTGCCTCTCGCCCCAGCTCCTTGTCCTCCTCGCCCAGCCCCAGCAGCCCTCGTGCCCTGCACGCTGCCCTCCCCACAGCTTTACACCAGCTTTACACGGGGCTGGGCAGGGGCCGTCCCTGCCCAAACCTATTCGCCGACGGAGGAATCGATAGCGGTAAAAGAGCAGAGGTTGGTGTTTGAAGTGTGGCTTTGGGGGAACGCGCTCAGCTCCTTCACTCTGCCGTGCAGATTAAAAAAAAAAAAAATAAATCCCCCTTTGCGGGGGCTCTGCGGGGGGTGGCCGGGCACGGCAGGCAGCGGCTGAGGGGGTGGCCAGCCCTAAGCTCTGCCCAGCAGCGCCGGGCTCCGCAGCTCCGCTCGGATGCGGCGCCGGGGACGATGCTGGCAGCCCCCCCCCCCCTTCCTCCCGCCCCCAGACACCAGCTCCCGGGCTCCCCAAAGCTCCCCTGGGACACCCCTGGAACGCCCCGCTCTGCCAGGCAAACTCATATTCTGCAGCTTTCGAGAGGAAAAGGTTATTTGACGGCGCTCGGTTAGGAAAGACATTCAATTTACCTTGAAAACCCAGTGTTGCTAGTAAGGACAAAGCTCTTACGAGCAGGTGGCTCTAGAAAGGACTGGACACCGCTTTGCCAATTTTCAGATAGACGACGGGCCTTTACACGCCTTTTTTTGTGCGGAACTATTAAGTCTCCATACGAGGCTGCTCATCCTTGAGAAACACAGCCCAAAGGGTACGAAATGGCCCATTTCAGCTCACTTTGCCCATAGGACTGCTATTTCATTTTTTCCTCAGCTTTCACCGGTAGTCTTCACCTCATTTTTAACCTGTAGTTTTTCCAGGTATTTTGAAGCCGGAGAAAAGGCCTTTCACCCTGGGGATTCATAAAATTGCATCTTAAAAATGGTCTTAACGTGCACATACTGTCCACCCTGCCTCTAGTATCCAGAAAAATAGGACATTTTTGATTCTTCAGCTATGTGCCAGCTCTCCAGAAGAGATAAAGGCATTTAAGATTTCAGCACAGACCACTTACAATCTTACCCATCCTGGAACCATGTGTTAGAGATCTACTAACTGATGGGTTTTTTTTAATTGACTCTGATCAGACGGAAGCTGAGTATAGGCAAGGGACTATGAATGGTTGTTTATTTAAAATACAAACATCTGGGTTAAATAAACTCGTTTGGAAAAGTTCCATTACATATGGAGGGGAAAGCAAGGGAAAAGCATTGCCAGTAGCAAGAACCAGTGTGTGAACCCCCAACGAGAGAACCTGATGCTCCACAGCCCAAGTGCCAGTGCTGGAACTCGCAGCCATGGGGGGGGGGGGGGGGGGGGCACCAGCCTGGGGCCTCCACACGGATACGTAAACCCAGTGTTTCCCTTTATTGCTTCAGTGTTAACAAAACACTTTCTTGGTAATTTATTCAACCTGGTAATTCGTCCTACTTGTCCAAATACGACTTCTGCTCCATGTCCCAGGTGTAACTGAGGTTGACCGCTCTTTACTCAGCCTAAACCCCACGGAAGTACCTACCGGATCGGCGCTCTCGGAGCGGGCTGGCGCTACCCATCACCCCAGCCGGCCGGAGGAGCCGTGTCCAGGCTGCCGGGGCTGTTTTAGACACCCACCCGACCCCAACCCCTGCCACAGCACGGCTCGGACGTGGCTGCCCACTGCCAAGGGCCGGGCGAGCGTCCCGAAGCCGGGCAGCCGGCGGAGCTGGGATCGGCGGGGTGACCCCCCCCCAGCACGGGTGAGCAGCCAGCTCGCAGGTGGATGGACGAGGCCAACGAGCGCTTCCAACCCAAGGGGCAGCCTGCAGCACAGAGCAGCCCTGTAAAAAGGCTTCCTGGGCCCAACTGGAGCGAGGCAGGCTGCACCCTTCCACCCCCTGGCCCGGCACCCCTGCCAGCACCCCCGGGACTGCTTTCGTACCTCCGCCGTTACACGCTTGCTCAGCCCAAATACAGTAAAACGGATCCTGTTTAACAGAGCAGGCTGACATCACTGTTTCCCCAGAGCAAACCCGTCGGCACGCACAGGCGACCCTTGGCTTTGGGTCGTACAACCAAAGCGCGTCGTCCGTTTCCTCAAGACACAGCTGCTAAACAATTCCTCGCCCTGATCTCCGGTCGCCTATCGCTTCAGACGTGCGCGTAAGAGCCAGTCACCGGCCCCCCCCCGGGCTTGTGCACGGCTCTGGCCAGGACCAGACCGCGCGCTGGGAGCTCCAGAGCTCCTCAGAAACTCTTGTTTGTAGGTGTCAGCGGCGCAACTCAGCCCTCCTCGCCATCCGAGCCAGCTGTGAGCCCAAAGCTGTAAGAAAACATGGGGGAGGCAACGCAAAAAACGGGGAAACACGTGGCTCCTGGGCTGGCTCGGGTCCCCCCTGCCCTCGGAGGTGAGGGTCTGCGGCTGGAGGGGATGGTGCTGGGATGGCAGCTCAGGAGGCCCCCGTTCAGCTTCGGGGACATCCCTGTGGCTTGGGCAGACCACACCGGGGGCAGCCCCGGGCGAAGGGACCCCAGCCCCCTCCCCACGGGGACGGGACGTTTACCCACATCCCTGCGGGCTGAGAGCCCCCCGGGCAGCCCAGCCACGTCTCTGTCTGCAGGCCAGCATCATTCCTCACTCCCGCAGAAGCGGAGGGAGGTTTGAGCCACTCACTTCCACCGCTGCGCGGGGGCCAAACATAACAGGGGCCGCTGCCTGTTTTTCAGGCTGCCTGGTCAGCAGGACTTCCTGCCCAGATATGGAGCTTCTCCTCACAGCTCCGCTCCGGCTCCTCAAATATGCATAAAAGGAGATTTCTTTAAAAAAAAAAAAAATAAAAAGACACAGCAAAAAACCCAAACCCAGTAAGATAACGCAAAACAAATGCTCCCCAACTATCTTAGACTCCACCTACGCCCAAGCCCATTTGGGAACAGCAGTGTTAAACATGGAGATACCAAAGTTTAAGATAAAGAGTTTGAAGACACTTGTAATGCTTTTTAAAAAAAGCCCGTGTCAATAAACTGCTCAGAAGAAAAACAAATTCTGCTCACCATGACTAGATATACAATGCATTTTAAGATTTCTGTTTTGGCTTTTTTGTCTCATATCATTCTTGCTATTAAAAGAGAGAAAGCAAGCCCATGCAGAGGAAATTCTTAGGTAGTGAAATGATAGGAAATTGAGGCCATTCTACCCACAAAAACATCTCTGAACAATCTCAGGAATATGCCAGTAATACCACGGTTCACTATTTTACTGGCCAAAGGCAGGGCCATCCTAGACACTGGTAAGTTCACTCAATGGTTGGAAAACAGAGCACCTATAATGACAAATGTCAGGGAAAAAGCCCAAATGTGGCTCCATCTTGGTTTACAGTTTGAGGACTCCTTTGGAAAGGAGCACTGAGCCTCCAGGCAGGTCTGGGCAGATGGAGCCTGGTTAGAATTTATGAGCAGGTCAGAGTCCAGCTCCACCAGCCTGCTCCATTCACAGCTCAGCTGAGGCTCCAAAAGGCTTTGTTCTGGGTATCATCACCCTCTGACCAGCCCAGCACTCCCTGGCCAACGACCCTTTGCTGAAGGACTTACTGAAGCTGGTCTGACAACTGAGTTCGGTGCAAGGGGACTGTCCTCAATGACACACGGAGAAAATTGTTTTCACATCCACATAATTCGAAAATCCTTCCAAAACACAGCACTATTCTAGCTACGAAGAAGAATTAACGCAGCTGAAACCAGGACGTGCTCACTTCACAACCTGTTCAGTGACAGATTTAGCACCTCCACGAAGAGATTTCAGACTAAACTTAGGTGTTTCCCAGTGAAGGTTCCTCTAGGAACAGCCATCCCGTGCCCAGGCTAATGCTCCAGGCAGATGGGCCAAACTTCTAGACCACAAATGGGCTGAACTCAGACCTGCCAGTGCTCAACAGACACACCAGCCATCCAAGCACAGGCTCTCAAAAGTGTCTCCTTCCTTCCAAAGTTGCATTGACACAAGTATTTTCCTCTTAGTTATAACTGGATATATGGGGACACAGAGCCCCATCAGCTGTCATGTTTTGTGGTCCCCACACACCTGTCACTAAAGCTGTAGCGATAAACAGCTTGCTGCTAAAAGCATCAGGAAGGAAAAAAAAGTGCTGTGGGATGTTTGGGATGTGTTTAACATCTCTGCTTTGTATAGCCACAGAAGTAGAGGGTGGCTCCAGCACAACGCTCCTGGGACACTCATTCAAGGAGATCCAGTTGTTTTATGGAGTAGTGAGTAGAATAAATTCAATATTAAATTTTCACAGCCCTTACAAGAAGGCCGCTTAGGG